ACAAAAAAAATAATCACTGAATCACACTGAAGAGAACCAAGGATTTCTTATTACTGGGCCTGGGGCAAGCCCAGTTCTTGTAGTGGGTAGTTTTGTTAATGGCCTGGGGCGACCCCAGTTATTGTAGTGGATGCTGTTCAAACCGGCAGAATTTGAAAACGCCGTCTATACGTTTTAGTGTGCACGGAAAACGTAATCATGTGATTTCCCCGCCCGCGTTTTCCTCGATGACCGATGTTTGTTGCGTGTTAAAATTTCTCTGCGTAGTGTGGACGGAAAACATGTAATGCGTTTTCAGAGTGGGACGCCGTTTTCAACACATTTGGCCGTTATGGCGCGCGGTTTAAATTTCTTCAAAAGGTCCTGAAGACCTCCGCATGTCACACGTGAGGCCGGGGAGGGGGAGGGACACGGTCAGGCAAAATACGATGGGATTTTGTAAAGCGTCACGGCAAGGCGACGAATCAGTGCTAAGGTAAACTGAAGTATACAGTCTGGACAAGCTTCAAAAAAAATATGAAAGTTGATCTCAAAATGGGTAATTCGCGAATAATCACAGTCGTATCGAAGATAAACTCACCAAGTCGTTATATCTTTTCGATTTAGTTTTTAAAATTTTAACGATTTACAGTTGCGACTGCATTCATTATTTACAATGGAGTGTAAAACATTAATTCTAGGTAAAGCCTGGTTTCCACTAGCGACGCAAGCACAAGCGCAAGAACAAACGCAAGCAATAGGGATGATCCAAGTGAAAACGAAATTCGACACAAACACAAGCACAAGCAAAATCATCCGAACCTTCCGCCACTTTGGAAAACTGTTTAGGTGCGAGTTCATCTGGATCCAGTATTTTCATTGGCCAAACATAACCACGTGTGGTAAATATCCTTGTGTTTGTGTTATGCCTGAGCGGTGTTCCGTTTTCACTCGTTGCAGCGCAAACGCAAGCATAAACGCAAGCATAAGCGCAAGCACAAGAAAAAGGAAAAATTTTGATCCTTGTGTTTGTGCCTTCGTCAAGGCCGTTTTCACGGTGAAATAACAATTATTGTGTTTGCGTTTGTGCTTGTGCTTGCGTCGCTAGTGAAAACCAGGCTTAATTGTACACGGTACATTTTTTGACGACATTGCATACTAAGCTCCTTCATAGTCACTGATATTTACAATATCAAAGTCAATATTTGTATTTGTCCTAAATTACATTGAGACGTCACTTTAAAGTAAACGTCACGAAGTGGCGACCCAGCCGCTTTCTTTAAGAAAATTCATGATGTGTTTTCTGTGTGTTTTGTCGAGGTTCGGTGGGTAACGAGTTTTAACCTGCACGCCTTGACGTCTGAGGAGATTGTCCTGTGGAAAGAAAAAAGAAAACCAGTTCTTTTTTATTTTTTAGACAGACATGCTTTACAATAACTGCGGAAATCCTCGCGCGTTCATTGGCTAATTTTCATCGTAAATAAGCGAACAGACACATGAATACATAATTTTGTCCCTTCTACTTTTTTGTTATTGTAAAAAACAAATTGACGTCAGTTTTTCCTGCGTCTGTTCTGTTACTGGCAATGAATTTCGTCATAACATTGTAGTCTGCGGATTGGATATCGCCTCGTAGATCCACAGCTACTTTGACGATGTTATGACGGAATTCACGACTAAGAACAGGACAGACGCATGAAAAACTGACATCAATTTGTTAAATTTAGCCTAGTTTCCAAGCCCCATTAACGTGTTGGTCTTGAAACGGTGACTTTTTAAAACTAGGGTAGGTCTCAGTTTTGTTGAGATCATTAGAGAACATATAAGAAAATGGCTGCATACTAGAATGCATCAGGAAAAAAAAACATTGATGAATGTAACACCTCGACACGTCAATTAACAAGGTTTGAATTCACTCACCTTTAATATGATTGTCTTTATTGTGATGTAAAATCCTGGTTTCATGTGTATGGACGCACAGAGCTGCCGATGGAAAAACAAATTCACTTTAGAATAAATCGACTAGCGTTCTATCACGAATGCTTCACTATCTATTCTGTTAAACAGTGAGTAGCCTAGCAGTGTGCGCTCGTTAACAAAATGGCGGCCGCTTCTTTGCGTTTTCGAAGTGCCCGTGAGGTTTAGAACGACAAGTAAATTTATACTAAAACAATTAGATTATTCGTTCTCGATTTCTACGCGTGATAGTTGACTCGGGCTGCGCTCACGCGATAGAAATCTCGAGCTCATAATCTAACTGTTAATTAGCCATCACAGTTGAACCTAAACTAATTACAACAAAATGTATGACTTGCTAATGCAGAGACTCACCTGTCTTTCGACCGGCGATAACAGTTTGTACGTGGCACAATTCTTCATCTGATCTGCAAAACTGGGTGACGAGAGTGCACCGTCTACAATGGCAAAACAAAGAGTTAAATTGTAGCGTGTGTGGACTGGCTTTCAGAATAAGACAAGTTACCCCAGTTGTATCGGGGAGAGGGGTGGCGAGAGGGAATTTGAGCAGCATAAAGAGAGAAGCCCCTCTCCCCATTCTCCTCGCAGCTCAGGCAACCCAAACTATTCACCACAGAAACACAAACAGTGATATTTTTTAAATGTAATTTACTAACGTCGTTACCTTTTTCATCCTTTTCTTCCGATGCAGCCCTGTGTAAGCGAGATGTCCATGAATTAGTACGAACAGAAGAAAAAATGACAAATATCAGAAGTGAAATAATTACAGTTCCGCGATATCAACACTACTCACTCATTCTTTTTCCCCATCGATACATTTGTTCTTCTCGGTTGTGCACCACCCTGACACAAAAATATCACCATCTTTTAGCAATTTGTATCATTACCGTACCCAAATTCGCAATTAGCCAATCAGAAGCCGTGTCTACTGTCGTGATATCCTGCGATATCAAGTCACTGACCTGATCTGGCTTAGATATCATGATTACTTGGCCGAATTTGGGTACGGTAATATAAACACCTAATCGTACCTTTTTGGTACGCTTCGGCGGCATATCAGACTCGTTTGGTCTCGCCACGTATTTTGGCTCAACTACATCTCGCCGAAATACGAACTCGCCTGATATGCCGCCGAAGCGTACCAAAAAAGTGTGACTAGGTATAAATATGATGAATTTGGAAGCTGTGTTTGCAGCTAATCAGATGCAAAAACCAAAACCAAAATGTGTGATCTGGCTCAAGTACATTTCGGCATTCCGACAAGTTACTTGTTCTCATGGACTTTGATTCTTCCGTTCGCTTTTGTAGTTAATTTACTGGTTGGACTTATGACTACTAAATAATAACTCCTATTTCACCACTAAATATCACCTACCACCATTTTCCTTTTGTTTTCTTTTCGTCTTTCTCGTCGCAATCTTTGTTCATCGTACTCTTGGCACTCTACAAATGACGCAAAATCGTTTAGCTTGCACAGCACTGACAGCAACAAAGGTCAGACAAATTATAATTCACGTACTTCACATCTCATGAAACTCTAGTATTGGTCATACATTTCAAAAAAAAAAAGTGCCAATGAATGAGGCAACAGTCGCTGGTTTAACGTGGATTGCTGAAGTGACCTTTGAGTAACACTGAATTACCTGCCAGTTTTGTGATTCCATTCTTCCTGTATCTCATTAAATCTTTTATTCTCGCTCTAAGTTCCCTTTCCCCTGTGAGTAAATGAAAAATAAACACTCACATTCAATTAACAATTTGAAAAATGCAAAGCCCCGCCCGAACAGTCTACACCCCCGACTCCAAGTTTGAACCTGCAAGTGTATCCATATAAACTTTTCTCATGGTAAAATGCCACTACTTTCAATTTAAGTTTTATGAAGACCTAGCTTTAACTGATATCAAGCTTAAGCCCATGACAAACTGAGGCACAAGACCAAGAGTGAAATCTTGAAATGAATGCGCGCGTGCACAGGCAGCCAGTGTAACTCGTACAATGCAGGTGTAATGTGGGAGTATCTGCTTAAATCAAGAATTAGCCTAGCTGCTGCATTTTGAACTCGTTGAAGTATAGCGAACTGCCCCTTGGGAATGCCGTACAGAAGGCTGTTACAATAATCTAACCTGCTGGTAATGTTACTAATCTAGCAGTCGTCACAACTTCGATTTCGTAGTTATACTAATTAATAAAGCCTTATTTGTACAACGGAACTGAAAGATTTACTTACTTAAATGACCATTCAAAAATTCTTCCCATTCACTATGGCTCTTGAACCTTGCAAAAACTCTGGTAGCGTCCCGAAATTCCCTGTAAAAAAAGAGAACGATTCGTTCGTTCTAACTCTTTGAATATTGAATGTCTTCAAGCTATAACAAACAAAAAAACACCCACGATTGCCAGATAATTCTTAGGAGAGAATTAATTTTCCAGGTTCTAAGACTTTAAGTTGGCTTTGATGAGCTCATGAACATTCAGGTCAGCAAGGTTTTCCTATGAAACTCTGGAGAGTTTCTATGAGTGAGCGACGAGCGATATATATAATAAAGTCTTGATACTTAACAAGTATCCTTCGAAATCGCACAGAGTATCATCTGACACTTACCCTGCGAGGCTAGAGTTCGAGTAAGCTAAAATCAGACGATATTTCTCCAGATAGTCGGATTAACCTCTTACTAACCGAGTGCGAGGGCCGCATTGTGGAATATTGGCCCAAAGTCATAGCAGTACGGACTGAGCTCAGCGAGTTCCGTGCAGAAACGACCAAGTGCCGATATTGCCCAGTACGGCTCGAGCAGGCTAGGCTAGTAAGTAGTTTATTATATGGCACTTAAAAAAAACAAAATATACACTTGAAAACTGTCCATATGCCAATTATCCTGACCGAGAAAGAACCAATCAGAACGCTCAAATTTACATCAAGACTACATTGCCATAAAATAAAATAGTTTATAATTTGTCAACAAATTGTCAACAAGCCACTCAAAATACAGTTGTTCAGCACTCTGTAACAGGTTGGAAGAACCTTGAGCATACTTCCAAATACGACAAACTAAATATAGCCCTGGCTATCTGTTATGTGCACTGTGAGTCTGTGACAATTTGCTGCATACAAAAACATTTTAAATAACAGCTAACCTGTCTTCTTTGCTGTACTTTCTACGAAGAGCTGAAAGAGCAAAGCAGTGGTCAACATCTATTTTTTAGAAAAATATCACTGATGTTGCCATCAATCGCAGACAATTAAGATCAGGATTAGGAGGGGACATTGTTAAAATATGCAATGGAATTCTAGTTCACCCCACTTTAGAGTAGTCTTCTCCATAAAAGACTACCCTTACGTTGTGACCGAAACAACCCTCTGAGTAACAATGTCCACCCCCCTCTCCCCTAACCACTCCCTTGCTAAAAAGTAGAGGTAACATTTCTCAGTTAGTAACAAGGGCGTAGCTAGGGGGGTCCTCGGGTGCTCGTGACTTCCCTTTTGTAAGCCTTTTTTAAGCAAACAACCTACAACAGGCAGTGAAAATGCCTTGACAATCTGGTCAGTACCCTCACTTTGACAGAGTGTGTCNCTTTGAAAAATCCTGGCTATGCCCCTGAGTCAATCATTAAAGTATCCATGCACCAATAGAAATAATGCTCTGAAATGTGGCCTCAAACATAACTTGATTAACAGATAACATATAAACTTTGATTGTTGCCAAATGTTGGTAGACATTGATTATTTGACTTAAATGTATCTGATCTGTAGGCTTTTTTTTGTTCACTAAATTTTTCAATGGCATCTGCCCACCTTTAAAAGAGTGAAAAATATATAACAGATACTAGAAAACTTCATTAACAGATAGCCCACTCAAGTACATCATGTTATAATTTGTAGAATGACAATATCTGCTTATGCCACTTTCTTAAGATCTAGGACTTATTTCCCTTGTCTCACCTATTATTCTGTGTTTACTAGCAATAAGTCCATGCTGCCTTGCGATACTGTAAGATTTAACAAAATAGGATTGTTTAGATTAATGTACATATTAATGGCAATAATAGAACTGCTGCAATTAATGGGAAGTGTCCTGATTACTTTAATCATTATATCCGTTTTGTCATTAACAGACATCATTACACAACTCGGGCGTCAACTAACATGGACTTGACCAGTCCTTTTTTAACACCAAGACCGGTAAACGTTCATTTTTTACAAGTGGCACTAGATTATGGAACAAGCAAGACAGTGCTACAAGGGACCTCATTCCCCTTTGTGAATTTAGAAATCTAATATACAAGAAATACAAAGATCAGTTTTCTAGAACTGACAAGTTTATTACCAGTAGAAATTTTTAATGAATTTTCAATTGTATTTTTTCTTTGTATTTTTCTATTTGAATCTGTAATTGTAGTTGTTTGATAGATGTTAACGACCACAATAATGAACTACTGGTTTTACCAGTAATTATGCTTTCCAATAAAGTCATTATTAGAATCATTTTTAACTGAAGGTAAAGGGTATAAGTTAAGCTAGAAACAATTAAACCAGAATTACATGACAAGTCAAGTTATGTCCAGTTTAGTATAAAATGCACTCAAAGTAACTTAAGTACATGTAGCAATACCACATTGTTATGACCATAACAATCCAGTGTCCAAACTTTTTAACACATTTATCATTAAAAGAAATCTTTGGACAATCTGATGAAATACGTACTTCTTTCGGTGTTGCCTTTCCTTGAGTCTTCTTAAATACATGTCTATAATTCCTAGTTTCAAATCTGCAAAGAACAGGTCAAGATTATTAATGGTAATTGTTTGTCTAATGCCAGAATTGAACAGTTGCTTGTTTCAGTTGGTAGACATTCAATGACATAATTGCCAGTTTCCTCTGACATTTACAGCTGCTTGTTTTGATCAAAAATAAATTGAATTTCAAACACATTGTTTGGTTTCTGCAAGACGTATTAGTATCGTAAACAATGTAAAGTAGCTTTTTAAGTATTGCAAGTAGTGTAAAGTAGTTGTGTTGTATTCTAAGTTGTGTAAGTACATGTAGATGTATTGTAATGTTAGTTGTGTAAGTATATGTAGGTAGCTCTTTTGTATAAAAAAAAGTTTAAAATTAAAAATAATAATAATTGGTTTATTTGAGAAAAAGATCACTATCCTTTGTTCTCAACTAACATTCTGATTGGTTAACTCTTTTCCAAGTGGCCCGGTTTCACTTGTCGCACTGCAAATTTATTTTACCATCAAATAAACAAATTTACGTCAGTTTTTCATACGTCTGTCCTGTTATTGATCATGAATGTTATCAAAACATTGTCAACTTAAGTAGCTGTGGATCCACAGACTGCTTTGACAATGTTATGACGAATATCATCGGTAAAAACAGCACACACATGAAAACTGACTTCAATTTGTTTTTGACAATAAAAAATTGTCAAACTGTCTGCTCTCACCCGTTGACGCATTGCATAAATGATTAATTCATGTGTCTGTCCACTTATTGACAATGAAACTTAGTCAATGAACGTGCAAGAATTTCTGCAGTTGTCATAAAATACATAGCTTTGCCTTGTCTTACCTACTTCAACATCTTCATCATCATAACTGAACTGCAAACCACTTACAAGAGTTTCAGCTTCATTATCATATTCCTACAAGAAAGCATTCAGAATTATTCTACTCTGTACACTTGATATGTTTACTACTTTACCAAGTGATGACCAGTACATGTATGTTATTAACCAAGTGAGAGGGCCATACTGAGAGAACATTGGCTTGAGGTCTTGATAGCACATAATGAGTGCAGCGAAGTCTGTACAAAAAGACTTAGGGCTGAAATCTTCCCAGTACAATACCAAGCAAGCTTGGTTAATAACAGATTTAACACACAACTGAAATGTTGAAGAAAATGCCACAATCACAGACTGGGAAAACATCCAAAATCCAAGCAGGAATTCTGATTGGGAACTGACTGGGCTCACTCATCTCTGGTGTTAACCAAAACAGGAGGGAAAGAGAGTTGGAAGAAAAATAAAACTACAAGAAAATATTCAAGAGTAATTGGGCAGGATCATCTTGGTCTTTAGTCCAATACTTAAAGAATATTGGACCAGCCATGGGGCAATTTGATTGGTTTATCTTAATAAATTGGCCCTCTGAATTAAATTATTCTGTAATAATCCTTGATATCAGCCAAGTATTTTGAAGCCATATTCCCAAAATGTCCTGGTGGAAGGTATTTTAAGTTTTACTCCTTTACTTCTGCCAGCAAACCCCAGTTGATTGCCATAACCGATAAATGAACTTGAATGATAAACAAAATTTACCCCCCACTAGCACCCTACTCGCCAACTTGCCTAATGAGGCAAATTAAATTGCAACTAAATTGCCAATGGGAGAATAATGGTTCCTTTTCTTCCTAACCTTATCCAGACTAGGAATCAATATTCTACAATACAGTGTAGCCACCATTATTAAATAAAGTTAATGTCCTTATAATTATTACCAAATGAATACTGAGCTCTACAATTTATTGCAGGCATGGCTTCCTATCTATCTTATAATGAACTAACATGAGGTCACCTTTTCAAAATCATCTCTGAGCGGCATATATCCCAGCTCTTGCTGTTCAGTGATGCCCATCTCTACAGGTTCAGGGGGGTGCAACAGTGTTGGAGATAACACTTCTATGAAGAAAAGGACAAAGATAGTTCCCGCCTTGAACATTTTATACTCTTCCATCAAATCCTTTGACAGAATTGAAATTTACCCAGGAGGGTAAATTAACAGGTAGCAGCAAACTCTTCAAAGTTATCAACCTGACGAAATGACCAGGGGTAACATGTGGTCTTACCTTGATCAGCTGAAGTGTGATCGACTATCTTATTCTTAAATGGTTCCACTGTTGCTAAAATTAGAAAAAGTATTAATGAAAATTTATATGGGACTACACAAACAAATGAACGAGCAAACAAATGAACGAAAGAACAACGAACAAACAAACAAATGAATGGATGAACCAACCAACCAACTTTATGAATGTGTTTAACATATCTGAGAAGGAGAACCATCAACTAATAGGGAACGCCTAATGTACATGAACTAATTAACAATTAACAAGCATTTTGCGGATCAAAAAAAACAGAAGAATTGCATAGGGGGCAGCCCTTGCATCCATCTTTTAGAAAGCTCAATAGATCATGCCTTTTTAATAGAAAAAAAATTACCTAAGCACCAGCCCTATACAAATGACTTGAATATGCTAAGCTATCCACTGGATAGAGATTTAATTGGAGAGTGTTGTATTTTGTGTGGCCTGATGTGCAGATTTTTCACTTCATTTTTATCACTACCAGTAACATAAATTAAAACAATTTAAGGAGAACTAGCAGTTAGAATAAAAAATTACCTTGCCCAACAGTTCCTGAGATGAAATGATCAGCATAGTGTTCACTAGTCTCTGTTGATGAAGGGCAGATTTATCAGAATTTATGTTCTAACCCATTTTACAGTTCCATATTTAAAGCGTATATGACATGAAAAATGATTTCTGCTTATTTGAAAGGCCTTTCAAAATACAGAAGAATGGCATTTTTCTTTTTGAAATATCTTTTTTTCATTTTAGAGAGATTGACATTTTTCTATTATGCAAGTTAGATCAGTTATGACATCATATTTGTTTGCAACTAAAAAGTGGAAAATACCGAATAAACGATATCTCTGGAAATATTGAAGCAGTATTGAAGGAAGAAAATGACACCCTTAGTGCTGTTGCCATGACAACAGTTTTGCCGCTGGTGCTGTCTTAATAAAAACTGAAATTCCCAGTTTTTGTCTTAAACCAAGAACCATCTACCTAACCCAATCTAAAGATGGGAGTTAAGACAATAGGGGAACTATGTCTGTTCCAAGTAGGACCCTTTGTCTCAATTTAGAGATTGCAAATGGGCATTTTTGTTTTTTTGACAGAAAGAGACTGGAACCCAAAGAGTTGCTATGGCAACAGCACTAAGAGTGTAATTTTGTTCCTTATGTGATGCACATTTGTGGTGCCAAGTTTCAAGAACACTGCTTCAATATTTCCAGATATCGTTTATTCCGTATTTTCCACTTTTTAGTTGCAAACAATGCAAACATCACTGCTCTAATTTGCATAATAGAAAAACGTCAATATCTCTAAAACGAAAAAAGATATTTCAAAAATAAAAACGCCATTCTTCTGTATTTTGAAAGGCCTTTCAAATAAGCAGAAATTATTTCTCGTGTCATGTACATTTTAAGTGATCAAGCATTTGAGCAGAAGTGAGGGATGGCTTTGTTATGATACAAACCAAAAGTACATTATCCTCCGCTGGTAAAGCAGTTTTCTCTTGAGTGTCTGTTGTAGTTCCCATTTTCTTTCTGATTGGTTTTGGCATTGCCACGCTAAGCAACATGGGTTATTGATCAAGCATGAGATCAAGATTGTTGGATATTGGCCAAGTTCTTTTCTTGCATGTTTATGGATCTCAACTTTGTCTCACAAAAAAGAACAAGGCCAACATCCAGCCGTCTTGACTGAACAAGCTTGGTCAATAAAGGATTTATTATATTGCGTTCAGGGAAATTGAGGGATAGTGCCATCTTGCCTGCTCGGGTAGTCAATCACAGCGCAGGATTTGATTCATCTTGCCCACTCACAGAGCTAGTTAAATTATAAATTGACTTGCACCACTTTAACATCCAATCTGAAGTAAAACCACAACCAGATTGTAGTTCATTTGCATATGTCTCCCTACACTTTTTGTCAGCAACACGTATTTGCTTTGAGGTTTGATTGTTTTAGTGGATTGCTTGAGTGTGACTTGTGATTGGCCAGAGTGTCAACTGCAGGGTCAACCCTAACCTAGCTTTCATGAAGAGCCCAACACTTAAAAAGACTGACAACAGTCACCATTTCATCAAAATGCACTCCTAAATATAACACTTAACAATTATTCCACAAGCGAGCATTGGATATGAGATAATAGATAGCCATCAAGGTGCTTGGTGCCAAGTTGACAGTAATCACCTCATATCCAACATGCATGAGTGGAATAATTGTTAACTTATTAAAACACTGGCCAAAATAGAGAAAGCTAAAATAAAAGAGATGTTAAAAGCCCCCAAAATTACACATATGCTTACCATTTTTGTAGAACATGGTATAATTACTTAATACTAATAACAGGAAGGCTAAGCCATTGAAATCTCTTAGATTGCATCATCCAATGATCCAGGTTTTAATAAATGCAGGTATCTGATAGGGAGCACATGAACAACATTGTACCAAAACACTGTGTCCGAAATCACCTCCTATTTTGAAAGCTCTTATTGGCCACTATAAGAGTGATTGTGATTTCAGTGGGTGATTGCTTATGACATTTCATTCTTATAGGTAACCACCTTCTTCCAAATTTCTGAGGTGCAGGCAGCTTACAACAGCTTTAACTTTTGATTATTTAAATTAACTAAAACTCATGTCCAACCTTTGCCAGTTTTGGTGCCAATATGATCAGCTACATCATCCCTGAAACAGCAAATATTAGAAAGGTATAGAATCAAAATCATTCAACTTTCTATGAAAACCAAAGTGCTCAAGCCATTAACTTTTCGTTAAAAAATTGGTATTCAAAATTGGGGGTATGACTTACCCGTGGAACCATCAGTTACTGAGGTTTTTAAAGATCTTATAAATATTCACAAAAGAATTGATTTCTTAATCACCCATTTGTGTCTTTGACATTTTTGGTGAGTCCTGCTCTTGAGAACTTGAGTTCTTTCAAAAAAATCAGTTTTTGCTCAGCTCATTCAACTACATGTAGACACTGATGTCAATCAATCAAGAATCTCTATTTGATAACTAAGATGGGTTCTGACAAAAATGAGTGCCTTGCCCAGGTTTGGGTGGGGGGGAATTCCCATGTAAAAAGGACAGGGGTGCCCATCACAAATTTCAAAAAGAGTCTCTAAGAGGTACCAAGATCCTGTTTGTAAGAGTGGCTTGGAATTGTTTTCACCCCCAAGAGGTACCAATTTTAAAACAACACAATATCTCCTGTCATATTGTTTCAGCTCAGTACCCTGCCGGTGCCGCAACAGCTCCCGATGCGGACTTTTCAAGGACAAACACCCTAAGGGATACCAAAACCAACCACTTTTTTAATCCCTTAAAGGTATGACGATCCTCCCCCCCCC